CAACTCAGGACCACTCTAGGCGGCTAAGAGCGGAGAGCCACAAGCGTTTTTTTTTAAATCCCTCCATCCTAGGGACATTTGGTGGGGAAACAGGAGAGGGCCTTGTATGTCAGTGTTCCCAGACTCTGGAACTCCCTCCTCAGGGAAGCTAGGCTGGCCCCATCTTTGCTGTCCTTCTGCAAGCAGATGAAAACCTTTCTCTTCAGGCAGTCTTTCCTCTAAATGACTAGTTGACCAAGGGGATGTTTTAAAGGGATTATTTTATTATCTTGCTTTAATTGTGTTTTTCATATTGCTCTTATTTGTAAATTTTTAATATGATATCTATTTAAAGCTTTTTAAATATTGTAATAATTTATTATTTAGCTTTTAAGTTTCTTTTTAATGCTGTAAGCTGTCTTGAATCCATTAGGAGAAAGGAGGCAAAGAAAGAAAGAAAGAAAGAAAGAAAGAAAGAAAGAAAGAAAGAAAGAAAGAAAGAAAGAAAGAAAGAGAGAGAGAGAGAGAGAGAGACCCACCTAATGTGGAATTACCACATCTATGACTATTCTAATTAAGACAGGTTAGGTCCAGATCAAGACACCCTCTAATTTTTAGCTCCGCTGGGTGGGGTACCACCTCTCTCACACAAGACTTCATCCCTGCATGTGACTCTGTCGCCCCATGAGCAGGGTTCTGTCATGACAAGAACCTAATGCAACCCCTGCACAGAAGAGGAAGAGAGATGTGCACAGGGGGACATAGATATACAAGTGTGCCCAGCTTAGAGGGAAATCAAGGGGGACTTGTGTTGGTCATGACCACTTAAAGTGCAAATAAATCTAAGTAAACATACCTAAATCTGTGCCCAAACCAGCATCTTTTCATATACAGTTGGTTATTTTAATAACTTTCTATGGAGATTTTGAGAATAGGAAAGTCAACGCAAAATATAGTTATGATAACTCTATGTTTGTTGATATAGCCCTCCCTGAATGGAGTAAAAGCCTTGAGGATGCCGATCTCTCTCTTTATGACACTTTGGTTTGGAAATGTAAAGCAACTGGGAAACCAAAGCCATCATACAGCTGGTTTAAAAATGGCCAGCCCCTCACACCAGAGGTAAGAGCTGTTTGATTTTTAATTCAAAATGTGTGTGAATGATTCTAGTTTTTTGTTTCCATATGTGTGAAGTTTATCTGATTCTTTTTCTCTGTTTGAAATAGTTGAGGGACCCAGGGAAATCTCACGTGCATTTTTGGTAGAGTGGAGTTTGCATCTGCTAGCTGAGTGTAGAATAGAACTGAATATAACTACAGGAGATAACTGTTTCTGGTTTAGATATTCACAATAAAATACATATTGATTGAATTCTTCGAAAAAACCTCTAGTTTATAAGTGTGGGATATTGTACTTCTGTATCCACAATTCAAAATGGCAGGAAACAGCCCAATATTGCTGCACAATATCGTGTTTGTGTTGCCTGTAGAAAAAAAGAGGCCAAATTTTACGTATTCAAAGGGCAGCCTTTGTTATGAATGCTGATAACACTAATGGAAGCAGTTAAGATGGTCTACAGGATACCCTCTTGTGTTCACTATCATTTTTTCTAGGCATTTTGATTACTTTATGGTAACAACCAATAGATACATAGATAACTATTTTTCAGAGTCAGGTTCTGGGATGTTGTCCCTGTTGGGTCTGGTATTTAGAGGAGTTGTGTGTCTTCCATTTTGATCTGCTATCCTCCATTTTGTGTTGCTAATGCTGCTTTAATGTTCCCATGGTTCAGAGATGGACGAAGGATGTTTTGTAAAGTTGACAGGAGCTGGGGATAGATGTTGCTTATCAAAAGCTGTTAATGACCTGGTTTAAACTTTAGCTATGTATAGCTCAGTTTTACCATGGCAAGATACTGGCTAGGGGGTAGTTCACACAGTCTTTAAAGCAAAATGTAGTAATGATGTATAACTCAGCTGCAACTTGTTAATGTAAAGAGCAACAATGTATAAGGATTGTTTGTGCTACCCAACAGTGGTACAGACTTTTTATGCTAATTTGTGAGCCACACTGTCACCTGTTCCAGCTATTGGATGCCTGTGTAAGTCAGTCAATGCACTTGTCTCCTTATAAGTAAACCTGGAGCTTGTCTGTCATTTCCTCAGGATCCTCTCAAATCCTGCTCCCATGGCCTGGGAGTGATACCATGTCTCTTTGTAATATATTTGGGCCACATACCAGTATTTTGAATTATGGGTACAGAAGAAAAATATCCCTCATTCATTAGCTAGCGGGTTTCTGAAGAACTGAATGCCCTGGTTTTTTAAGATGGACAGTTAAGCATACATAAACTACACACAAATTCCAGCAGCAACTTCCCTCATTACTCAGTGCTAGAGGATCCCAGAAGTTGAGCACATTATCTATACTATGGTTGCTAGGGGAGGGCAGAGACAAGAACAGCTGGGATGTAGCTGTACTACCTCTGTGTTGAAATATTTTGAAGGGTTGTTTTGGACTTAATGAAATTCTGAAACAAAAGTGTGAGTAAATGCAATACACATAGCAGAGAAACATATACATTCTTTAACCTTTCAAGTAATCTAATGTTGCCACTCTGTAGAATGCAGTCTAAAAGCTATTTTCAAATTTCCAAATCCTTGCTCTACAAACATGTTGTCTTCATTTTTTATAAAATATCAATCCTCATCTTCTGAAATTTTAAAAAAAAGGGAACTGAGAGTTAGCAAAAATTGTCACTAGAAATCAAGGTAAAAATTATCCATACTGTGCAAATTATGGTCAGTGTAGAAAGACAGAGGGGGAAAAATCAGCTCATTTGAAATGTGGTGTTGGAGGTGAGGTTTACAGATTTCACTGACCACAAGAAAGGCAAATGAGTGGGTGGTCAATCAAATCAAATTTGAGCTCTCACTAGAGCAAAAATAAATAAATTGGGGCTCTCCTACCTTGCACAAATTGAGAATACAGAACTGACCAGAAAAGACAATATAGATCAGAAAACTAATGTGGGGGGCAATTGGAAAAGTGGAAGAGATAACATAAGCTAGGTTGACTCAACCTAGGGATCCCCAGCAGAAGGCCTGAGCAGAATTTACTGGGGTCTACAGTGGATACCAGCTCAATTTGCTCTATTAGTTATATATTGTCTTTCCACTTCTGTGCAGCAGATATATATATATAATTATGATATATTTGCATATATTGACTGAAAATAGCATATGCAAAATGAATTTCTCCCATTCTAATAGAGTGAAAGGGAGTGCACAGCTGTGCAAGAACTCAGTGTGACCATCATTACATACATGGTTCTAGCTTAGACAATCTGCATTAAGAAAGACGGCCTGAATCCTTGTTCCAACTAGCACAAATCCACCAAATTAATCAATTGGTGAATAGTAAATCAACACTTTATGTAAACACCAATAGTTAAATAGGTGCACTTTTGCTAGAACTAGAAACTGGATTTAGGCCAGTATGTTCCAATGTAAAAGAGCACATTGGTACGTACTGGTTTTAATCCCATTTCTAGTTTGAGATTTCTGAAATCCTGAAAGATTTTTCAAAGCATTCTGAAAGTCTGGGCACCAGTATGAGTAACTCTTGCTGAAACTCGAAACAAAGCAAATCTGTTTCTTTCAGCACTCTGTGTTTTCCTTTGAGGATTCTTCTTGTAGTACTGACCCATTCCAGCCTTGCTTAGTTTAAAAATTTCATGAGAACACAGCCTCAGGTTGTATGGCTGGTACACAGCAATCTAATTAACAACATTCTACTACTTATCCACTTTTTACTTCTGTAGAGTTGGCTGCAAATATCTTCTGCATACTTGCTTCTACCTGCAGGCAGTTTTCTGTCCTCAGAGTGAATTCTACACACACACTGCCTCTCTCTTATGTGTGCATGCACACCCCTATGAATTTAAAGCGCTGTAACAAAGGCATTTCACTTCATACGTTCAAGCTGACACTTTCTCAGCTGGTTTTTTTTTTTAAGTTACACTTGCAATGTGGCAAGTAAAGCCAAAATAATAGTCAAATGATGGAGGGCATATTCTGCCCACGTTGAAGCGAAGAACGGATTTGGATGGATGACAGCCTAGTTGTCATTAAGAACACAAATGAATGTCATAGCAGTGTGGTGATTAGATTGTCGGATGAAAACTCAGAAGGCCTGAATTCAAATCCCAGCCTTACCATGACTTTTTCATGAGTGACCTTGTGCCAGCCAACTTTCTGCCTGGCTTACCCACAGATTTTCTGTGGAGATAATATGGGGAGGAGAGCCAGGTATGCTGCATCAAACATATTGGGGAAAGGACATGATATAAACGTAATAAATGAATAAAAGGATTAAAGCCCACTCAGACAGTGGGGCATCATCTCTCCTCCTCTGCTCAGGAGGGTCTTTCCCATTCTCCTGCCTCTTATCACAGATGAAAGCAGTTCTGTCATCAGGAAACTTAACTGGATTTCAACCTGAACTTTTTATTCTATTGCTGCCAAGTGTTCAATTCCAGACTCTGGTGTATCGGCAGTGGATAACGCCACTCCCTTGTGCAGTGCTTTGCTGAAGTCATGCTACACATTTGATTGGTGACAGTCTCAAAAGAAGATAATTCTTCACAGAATGCATAATCATAGAATGTACTGCCTTAAGATGTAATAATAGACACTAGCTGAATAGCCATTTTAAAAGTATGGCAAAAATTCACAGAGGCCATAACAGCAGCAGCTATAAATCGTAATAGATAAATGGACAATCACCGATGATGCAATGTTGTTGTCCATTCTGCTGAACAGCTCCAAGAACTCATGAATTGTTTTACCAAGGCCTGCCAAGATTTTGGATTAACAATCAGCCTGAAGAAAACACAAGTCATGGGTCAGGGTGTGGACTCGCCTCCCTCTATTACCATCTCCACACAAAAATTGGAGGTTGTTCATGACTTTCTGTACCTTGACTAAACGATCTCTGACACTCTTTCTCTAGATATCGAGCTGAATAAACGCATTGGCAAAACAGCTACCATGTCCTCTAGACTCACAAAGAGAGTATGGCTTAATAAGAAGCTGATGGCATATACCAAGATCCAGATCTATAGAGCCTGCATCCTAAATACTTTCCTGTATTGCAGTGAGTCCTGGACTCTTTGTGCATGGCAGGAGAGGAAGTTGAACATGTTCCAATATGCGTTGTCTCCAACACATTCTTGATATCACCTGGCAGGACAAAGTTCCAAATAGTGTAGTCCTAGAATGAGCTGGAATTTTCAGCATGTGTACATTATTGGAACAGCGAGGTCTACGTTGGCTCAGGCATGTTGTGAGAATGGCTGACAGTCAGATTCCAAAAGATCTCCTGTATGGAGAGTTAGTGCAGGGAAAGCAACCCAGAGGGGTGGATATATCCTTGTAGGATATCTCCTGCAAGCAGGATCTGAAGGCCTTAGGAATGGACCTCAACAGATGAGAAACCTTGACATCTGAGCATTCAGCTTGGAGGCAGGTGGTGCAGCGTGGCCTCTCCCAATTTGAAGAGGCACTTGTCCAGCAGGCCAAGGCAAAGAGGCAGACTCAAAACCAACAAAATCAGGGAGCTGGATAGGGGGCAGATTGTATCTGTCTTCAGTGTGGAAGGAATTGTCACTCTCAAATTGGCCTTCTCAGCCACACTAGATGCTGTTCCAGGACCTCTATTCAGAGCATGTTGCCATAGTCTCTTGAGACTGAATGATGCCCACACAAATGGACAATTTACAAGCAAAAGCGATGTAACTTTGAATTCCACTGTGTTGTGGGGCCACGCTGCTTGTGAGGTCCCAGATATTCATAGAAACATCTGGGAATTGACAGAGACGTAGGTTGGTAGTTCCTAGACATGGATCTTCATATATACTTGGACTTGGGTTTTCTTTTTGTCTCCCCACCACATGGTCTGGAGGTGGGGCTTTCTGCTTTAAATGAGCGTGTCCCAGGACAATTCTCTAATTCTATCTCTGGCCCTAATATGGTAAATAGGAAAGCCAATTAGATTTGTATACACCTGGGAGGCAGCAAAGTTCTAAGAGCTGGATCATACTTCTGGACTATTAAAGAGCAGGCTGGGTAGATGGGGCTTGTCAGCCATGGAAGGCAGCCCATCTAGGAGAAGGAAAACTCTGATGTCAAACCTCCACTGCCTTGCAGCTATACCCACTCATGGAAAAGGCTTCAGGAGTTAACCTAGAGGCAAAATCAGGAGCTGGAGTCCCAAAGGCAGTTCGTGTCGTTCTGCCAACTCCTGCAACGTTGCCGGAACCAGTTGTATTGGCTCCTGCCTTTCCATTGGACCATTTCAGCAACGTGGAGAGGGGGGGTCTGCTGCTTGAATAACAGCCTATCCTCCATATTACTTTACCCAGGCTTCATGCTCTGGAGAGGACACTCCTCGATTCAGAGCATGTTACCATAGTCTCTCGAGACTGAAGTATCCCTATGAATATCCAAAATTGCTTGCTCATGCTCCTGGTAGCTAATGGCCATCACCATCTGGGAGACCAAATTTAGAAAGCTCCATGTCTGAACAGTATGATCCAACATGGCTTTTCTCTTTCAATTTCCATACACTCTACCTTTTGCTGACCTGACTGTAAGTTTGAACTAGGATTTTGAATTGGTGTTGGTCTCTCAATAGCCACATCATAACATCACGGAAACACAGAAACAAAAGTTGAAAGGCAACAATTGATTTTCAAATGGGGAACAACATTTATTGCTTTTCACAAAAGGGGCATCTGACTGTTCTACTGTTCAGCTTCCTAACTACTACCTTCTGCACAGTGTAGCTCTGTAACAAAGCTGAAGGGAGTTACCATGTTCCTTTCACCTCAGTCTCATCTTGAGGCATACCCTCGCTCAGGGCTAATAGCCAGTCTTTTTTCTAATGGTGTCTTTCCATAGCCCTCACATTTAATGACTGCAGAAACAGAATTTAATGAAGAAGCACACATGTTCTTGTCCTTGATGGAGAAAGATCTTGTGACACATCAGGACACACACTATTAAAAATAAAAGTCAACTACTGTAAGATTCTTTTAATGAGAGGGAAAAGACTAGAGTATTTTTTCCTCAGCAGTGCCATTCACAAACCCCTCTGTATTTTGCATTAAAAACTCTTTCTGTTTTACATGTAAAAACTTGGCATTTTGTGTACAATACCAGTCCTAATTTGCACTAGTGTTTTGTGCAAAATGCAAGGGAGGTTACACAAAAAGGGTTTGTTTTTGCACAGAAATCACAACAGGTGGAGAAACATGAAAAAGGTTCTTATAATAAGAGTCTTTGGAATTTTTAATTCTCACCTAGGAGACCTAATTACTTGAAGACTTACATCTCCAGAGTGGATGGTACATCCTCATATGCATTCCTGTGGATTGTGCATGTGAATCAGCCAGTCTCCTCCATGGTGATATAGCCTTAAAAGACTCATGTAAAATGCCATCTGCTTGTATCAGTAGCCCTTTTCTCTCTTTCTGCTTTTCTGCTTTGGTGTTATTTATTTATCATATTTTTCAAGGGTGGTTTGTAGTTGAAATTGGGAGGTTCACTCCCACCTTTTGATTTAGCATGCCTTTCTGGTTCTGTTCACGAACTGCTTGTGTATATTTTGGTTGGTGTATTTTTAGGCCATTGTTGCTTTGAATTGTTATCTTCTGTTATGAATAATGCCTAGGCATACCTTGTCAATATCCAGATCACAATAGTTGTCAAGTATTCTGATTATGAATCATACAGGATTCAGATTGCTAATGTTCCAAGAGATATAATTTGTACATTATTGTTGCATGAAAGCGCAGCAATGATCTTGGTCTGGCAGAGCAAATAAACATTCTGTAAGGAAATTCTAAAAATGGGGGCAGCCAAAATGAAAATTATGACTTTTAAACTGGCCTTCAGATCAGCATCACATTTGGCACAAGTGTAGGAGATGCACTGCTCTTGCTCTGTGCCAGAATTGGTGATGTTTGGGCAAAGGGTTTTTGAGTTATGGTATTTAAATATAAAAATGTTTTATAGCTCTGTTCTGAAATAGCAACCCTAAATGTCTGCAGATTTTAAACAGATCACTTTAAGTGGAAAAACAAAACACCAGTCTTGCTTATTATGAAAGAGAATGGTTGGCTACACCTACCTTTTTTATGTAGAAAGAATCCAAGGGTAAAGTACTGACCCTCAAAAAAGACCTCTCAAAAGGGAGAAACAACCACCTTGTTATGAGACAGAACATGTGCGGTTCAGGCTAGTCAGCAGGAGCTTTGAAAAAATAAAGCATTATGTGGACTTGTCAGTGAGGGAGAAAAGAACAAGACAAATTTTCAGAGGCTCACTTGTATAAGATATAAAATTCTGGGGGTTTTTTTGTTTTGTTTTTTGCCTTATGTCTGGGCATGGTCTTACTTGATGTTTGCTGAACTTTGGTGCCTACATCCTATTATAGCCTCCCGTAATAGTCTCCATTCCATCTATCTCATCACTATACAATTGCTTGGCCATTAAAAAAAAACCTCCAAAATGTTATGTGCCATCAAGTCACTTCTGATGTGTGGTGACTCCAGGAGTGAATGACCTCCCAAATGTTCCATCATTAACAGCTCAGTTCGGATCTTGCAAACCAACGCCTCACATTAGTCTGTTTTCCCTTCCTACTACCTCCCCTTTGCTATGGAAACTGTAGTTTCCTGGGAGAAAAGTGGGATATATAGTAAACTAATAAAGCACCATATTTAATAAGACCCAAACATTTTTCCTAAGTTCACTAACTGTGAATGTCTTTGGAAAATGGTATATGCTTTATTTTTAATTTTTTAATTTCACTGAAAGACATTTACTGAGAATTAAGGCATAAATACCCATCTCTACTTGCTTAAAATTGTTTATCTACAAAGGATATTTTAGTTTTAATTCATTAGATAGTACTTAATTCTTAATTTTTAATAATTATTTTCTAATTAAAATGAGCATTCCAAAGCACTGATCGCAACACAGGGCACTGCCCTTTCATTGCCAAGCCGTTGTCCCAATGCATCTCTCCCATATACTCAATGGTTTTTAAAAAGCCAAACTCTCCCGACTAGAGATGGAAACAAAATGGGAAAATGGCAGTTTGTGATGCTTCATGGTTAGAGATGGGGATATTCGTATTCGTAAATGAATACAAATATCCGTGTCCCAGGTGCACCTAATGCAGGTCCAGCCTTTGGAACCAGCCCATCCACCCACACTCTGCTGCACCACTAACCTCCTGCTCTTCCCACCAATCATGGAAGTAGCTCCGCCCCCTCCCTGCTCAGCTGGCCACTCAGCAGCTGTGCAGAGAGACGTATCCTCCCACCCCTGCCTGGAGTGGCCAGCCAAGCCAGGAGATGATGTAGCTACTGATGTAGGAAGAGTGGGAGGCTGGCAGTGTGGTGACCAATACATGATGGGAACTGTACTCTCCAACTTTGCCTGTTTCTGAACATAGGTGACTTCAGGGACTACCCTTCTCATCATGCCTTGGTTCCAAGGACTTCACCTAGAAACCTGTGCAATTTGTTCCACCCCCTGAAGCTTCTAGACTAATGGAAGATCAAAAAAAGTTAAAAGAGGGTGGTCCAATGAAAATCCAGACCAATGGCTACCCTACTGATCTGTCTCACAGAGGTATGTGATAATGTGGGATCTGGAGAGCCATGCATACCCCTTAACCTCACTGAAGGATAAATGGGGTATAAGAGTAATGCTGGGGGTAGACTACCTACCATGCACCTACAATTAATAGTGCTTTCTCTGTTGTTTTTTAAAGGAAAGAATTCACATTGAAAATGGAACTCTTACTATAGCTATGCTGAACATTTCAGATTCTGGCCTCTATCAGTGTGTTGCAGAAAATGAATATGGCTCCGTATATTCCAATGCTGAATTGAGAGTAATAGGTAAGTTAATGATGATTTGAAAGAATTTTCTAAAACAGGGAAGGCTTGAGTGTGCAGTACAGAAATAAATAAATAAAATAAAGCTATCCAAGTAGACATTCTTCAGGGAAAAGGCCATAAAGGAGGATTCTAGAAGCACTGAAAGAAATAGGAAGATGCAGATTCATACATGAGTGTCTACACAAACATAGACCCATTGAGTTGAAGGGGACTTGTCCCAAGTGAGTATGGGTTGAGTCCAATGGTTAGGCTTGTCCAAACTAGACCCAGTGTATCAACAGTATTTACATGCATGTTGAGAAGTTTCATTCATATGGTGGATTTACCTGAGTGTAGCTGAGAAGCACGTGGGATTTAGCTCTTTGCAGTTTAATAAATTTTTTCATGAAATTCTAGGCTTAGTTTCCTAGGGTCAATTTTCTTGTTTTACTTTTTTCCCCCCTTTTAGCTTCAGCCCCTGATTTTTCCAAAAATCCTGTGAAAAAAATGTCAGTTGTCCACATAGGAGGTGAAGTCACCATTGGATGTAAACCAGAGGCCTCTCCTAAGGCAACAATTACCTGGAAGAAAGGCACAGAGACTTTGCAGCCAAGCAAAAGGTATATCTATGAATAGTTCTTTGTCTATAAGGATGGTTTGTTGCAGCTGATTGTTCTGTGTTGAAAACGAATAAGAAAAGACACATGGAAGTAAAACAAAGAACTTATCTGAAAAACTTTAGGAACTGGTTTGGGTGCAAAACAGAATAGCCATAGTGAAGTCCAGGCTCTGGGGAAACAAGAACAGGAAGGATAGGTCATCACATTTTGGAATAGGGGGGAGCTAATTAGGCAAATAGCGATGGCTGTATTAGGTTTTTATTTTTATTCTTTTTCTACAAACATCTGAGTTCTATGTCTCAGAATAAACTTGTTTTGGAACTCCACTCAGTAGTTTGCTATTTAAAACCAACCAACCAACCCTGAATCACATTTGTGCCAGAGCCCTTGTTTCACAGAATGAGTTTTACATTGCTGCGGATTCCAGGTCTTACTTAACTAGTGGATACTGTCTATCTACCTACATGTGGAACTCCATCACCATTTTATTGACTTATTTCCTCAACTAACAGATTATTAATGGGCATGGCGATCATGTTCAGAAAGCAAAGTTCTGTAGTAGTATGTTAGCATATTCCATGGAAATCTTGTGCAAAATTACAACACAAGGCATCTCATTTCTCATGCTTACCAGTGGCATGTGGCGAACTGCTCACGCATAATAGTCTCAGCACCCACTGCAAAATCTTGTTTTTCAGAGGTTTGTGTTAATCTAATCTTTTTATCAAACTGTGTTTATTTGGGAAATAGATAAGGGGTAAAATCCTGTAGAAAACAATGAGATCTAACTAAGACATGTGTGGAAATAAACAAGAGCCTCTAGACTGTAAAAAATAAATGAACCATTCAATTTAAAAAACATGATGTCTAGTATTATCTAGAAATATTAATAATTATTTCCACTTTTATATCACACCATTAGTGTTATCACTCTCTAGGCAGTTCACAAGATATAATAAATCACTGAATAAAAACACACTGTAATAAATAGGGAAAAAAAACCAGTATAATAAACTATGTTGCTAGGTAAAAAAACTGTACCTAGCATTAAATTTCAGATGCTCAAATTAAAATACATTTGAGCATCTCAGGTCAATATTTAACAGTGAAAAACAGCTTGTGATATTTCACCACGTGGCCCCTGCTTGTTTCACTATACAAAGAACTCACGCTATGTATCCCACCATTGCCACCAATTGTGACGTGCCCCTCATGTGTCCCCAGGTTGTTTCACTAGCCGGAGGCCCACAACATGTTCTCTCCTTTCTGCTGCCACCAGTTGACCTCTGTCAACACCCTTTAATTAGAAAAGTTGAGATACCAGCTGAGTATAAAGTTGAACAACACAGGTTTATTGATTACAGTTTGCTTAAACAGGTTCTTCACAAACTTTAATGTATTCATTAAATTATTAATAACTTGTTTCACTCTTAATTCTCTTAGCTCTTTATAAGTTCCACACTCTCTTTTAGTTTTTATTTATCTAAAACATAAACATAAGCATAAAATACACAAATGAAAATACAATATAACTGTGTTCCCCACCACCATTGTTATAATCTTCTTCCTCCATTTATATTCTTCCTCTTCTTTTATTGTTCTCTTCTCCAGAACTGCATTGATTCTTGATTTGG